CCTTCATGATAGCTAATCCGACTGCTACAGCTCCCTCTTTCGAAAAATGTTTATTGAGAATATTGAGAATTGAGAATATTGAAAATATTGAGAGACACAAAGCCTTTGAAAATATTCCTTAGAACTTTGAGGATGATGTCTTTCATTCCCTGAAGAAGGAGGCTCTGCACTTGCAACATTTTTATTTATCCCATTCATAAATTTGTCCAGTACCTTGTTGGGTGGTCTTTGTTATGCTGGTGTTCTGCATGCCTTCACTCCCTGTATCATTAGGATCCTGGTTAGCTGTAAGACTTTGTGAGTCTCTTCCATCTGCATCACTAGGAGAGAGCAGGTATTAACCAAAGTTGACCTTCCATGGTATTACTTCCACAAAGGCATACTTTTGCTGATGGGCTCACTTCTTCTCTCATCCTCCATACACATGTTTGATGGAAATACACTCCAGAAACATTCAAGTAGCATTATTTGAGTTTGCTGTTGAATGTCACCACTCATCTTGAGATGTCTATGAATGAGTAGGTCTCAGGCAGTCTTCCAGTTGTTTCCAGATGATATCTGATCAAGTGCCTTTCCTCTGTAATGTGGGAGATACTTGAAGGTGTATTGCATTCACTATGTTCTGGTGGAATTTGTGATAAGGGTAGTGTCTCTATGGCTATCATTCAGCTGTCCAGTATTGAAGTCCCCCACTTCATAAATATGGCTTTCAATAGGCTGTGGAATCCAATTGCGATGTTGCAGAGAGCTCTGACTCATGTGCCAACTGGGAATGACAATGATAATATATATGTTTCTCACCCCCTTTGACAGGCAACAACACTTGCTCATTTTGAGTACCTTTTGTGTAAATGAACAGCTTCTGGAGGACAAATCTGAATCTGCCAGGATATAAAAAGTGCCTCTTGCTTCCTGTTGGAGTCTTGGGGTTCCTGACTGCTGTAATGTTATATCCTTTTCATAATGTTTTTGAGAGTGCTCCTTTTCAATGCAAACACTGTCTGTAATCATGGACTCTCTCTCTTGTACCAAACATTTCAAATTCTTACTTCCCTCTCTCCATTCTGTCTGCTTTGTCCACCTTCCCCCTTCAACCTCCTAATATTGTTATTCTCTTGCTCCCTTTGTGGCCGCATTTTCTGTCTCCAAGAGTGTTGATATTGGTGAAATCTAGGTTTGATGGATTAGGATGACTCCATATATGCAGCTTTCTGCTTCCTTCTTAATGTCTGCTTATGTAATCTGCTGGTTGTTCCCCTTGGAGCTTTTTCAAGGTGTGTGATGAATATATTTTGTGCAACTTTCTAGGAGATAGGTAGAAAAATAACTGGATTTGTGTTCAAAGATTGTGACTCCAATTCCTCCTCCTTGCTCTAGTTTTCTTTTGCTGCCGATTGAAAGGCAAATGGTCCAGTGCATCTTGACTTGACAAATGTCTTAAATGGTACTTATGATTTAATCCTTCCATAAATCAACTAATTATTGTTCTGCCATCATTTTTGCAAGGAGCAAGGGAAAGATGATTCTAATGCATGTGAGTGTTTCGTTTTTATTAAGGGATGAGGGATATTGTGATGTTTGGAGTAAGGGAAGGGAGAGTATGAAACTAACCAATTGACAGAGATTCAATATAAGTAGACCAGATCAGGAGCTAGAGAGATCTTTTTTTTTATATTGCCATAATGGACCAACTGACTCAAGAGGCCAACTCGCTGAGCGGCTATGTCGATATTCTTGCTTTCTTCCTAAAAAAACACATCAATCTTTCTAAAATACACATCAACACACCTTCTATCCACCAATAACAGAGGTCTAAAAATCTGAATCTGAAATCTGAATCATCATGAAACACAATGTGTGACTTCATTGTCTCTTCCTGATGCATTACACCTTTTAATCCACAAACAATAAATTGACCTTGATGGCTGCATTTGGTTGTTGTGACATGTAGGTTTCATTCTGTCAATCTATCATTACTAATCTATAATGATCTAAGATTTATAGTATGACTCCTTGTTCTAACAACAGAGTCAGATAACTGAGTCCAATATAAGCAATGTAATTGGGAGTTCATTGTAATCACAATGTCTCATTCCTTATTTCAAATTTTTGTTGTTTCCCTTTTGCAGTTCTGCATTTGATGTTTTTGGCCATTCAAATGCCTACAGCTACCTTCTACTGCTGGCAGAATTGGGAGTTCATTGTAATCACAATGTCTCATTCCTTATTTCAAATTTTTGTTGTTTCCCTTTTGCAGTTCTGCATTTGATGTTTTTGGCCATTCAAATGCCTACAGCTACCTTCTACTGCTGGCAGATTATGGAACTCCTCTCAATGCCTGCACTTCTCTCCAGCTTGACACTGGGTATACTATAATACATTTCCTCCTGAAGGAAATGGAATATCACTTTTTCTGTTTTGGCCTTTCCTTTCATGAATGACAGTAACTGTGACATTACTGACTCTTACAGGATAACTGTAAAAAAATAAATGAGGGAATGGGGAATGATTTAGTCTGCAACAACAATGGAGTATCACATATTCATCCATAGCCTGCTTCCATGTTATTTTCCCAGCTTTCTTCAATGTAAGTTTTCCACTGCCTGTTTTACATTAAAATCCTTCTTGCAAAGTGCAAATAAAACTTTTATTTATTTATTAGGGGGGGAAGCTGGGGATAGCTCCTGTAAACTATGTCTGTAGGTGTGGCTTTTTTGTTGCAACAAAGTTCAAGACAATGATTTGATTTTTCCTCTAATCAAAATCATGGGTTCCCCAATTCAACTTTTGAGAGGGAAAGCATCAAAGTGCATGAAGGTGGGTTCTCGGGTGGGATTGGAGACAAGGCGCTTTGAGCATGTACAATGTATTTCCTGTGCCCACCACCTCATGTGGATTATTTGCTTACAGACCCATATTCACATATGTGCTCAACTGGCAGGCAAATCCATGGTACAGCACAGCTGAAGAACATTGGGATTGTTTCAACAGTTCTAAGTCAGTCTCTGTTGGTTGAGGTTATATGGAGGGAGAGAAACCCTGCATAGGCCTACTTGAGGAGCTGCTGCTTCTTCCATATTTTTGGACTAGGTGAGTATAATAACTCAAAAATGATAACTTTGTGACCTGCCCAGTTCAAAACGCAGACCACATCTTACTGGATACTTTTTTAGTTTGGATGTTTTAGCCCCAATGACTGAAAGACATATTGTTAGTATTGACTCAAGTGGTCCACCCATTCTTCTAATACTACTGGCCACACAAGTTGAACAGCACATCACAGTTTGATGCAGTTTGGTATGGTAAGGGTTTCTCGAAGTTTTTGACTTTGAGCTGAATTGACTCACCTTTGCAGAGGTTTTTGAACACAAACTCAAATTATGATCAAGGATCAAGCAGTGTCAACTTTTATAAACTTAGTGTCCTCCAGATTCAATCATGCTCACAAAAGATAGGTATTTAGGTCCAGAACCTTATAGATGAAAATTGGTATGGCAAAAAAGTCTTGAGGATTGGAAAAATTACCATCTCAGTTGTTTCCCTGAATGCAATATTTAGTAGTGAATTCAAAGGACACATTCATTTCCAATAACATGAGAGCGTTCATGTCTGTTGATGACTAGGTATATTGTCTGAATACCTGATGCTCAAATTTGTTGTAACAAGCTAGGATATACTTGCAACTAAGTGCACCAAATGGCATTGTGATACTTTGTGTACTTAAGTCATACAATGCTCAGCCCACCAACTTTTTGATCCCCCCCCCATATATATTTGCTTGTCATGAGGAACTTCTTTCCTTAATATGATGTCTGTGAGCAATTTGTCTGAATTTCTTGCATTGCAAGTGGGATCATGAAATGCCTCAGGCACTCAGGTTAAATTCCATTATGAAACAACCTATGAGGTCTCACAATAAAATAACGAGACTGACAACACTGTAATGCATGTGGCAACACTGGGTTAGTGGTGATTGCTGTAACCTGTCAGTGCATGTCTTACGTCTGTGCAATAACAAACTTGTCGTGATACTTGTAGTGATTGCAGAGCAGTACCACATTACCTAAAGTACTGTTAGGGGCACTCGGCAAAAAAATCAAACTCGAAAAAAAAAACAATTAACCGGTTAAGACGATGTTGTTGTGTTTCTTTGACTGCAAAGGGATGCATGGTGAGTTTGTTCCTGCTAGTAAAACAATCAACCAGCTGTTCTATCTGGATGTTTTTAAACATCTGAGACAGTGAGTTCATCGTGTGAGGCCGGAATTGTTCCTTGACAAGTGGATTTTGCTTCAGGCCTTTCGCACACAGCACTTTCCATTTAAGAGTTTTTGGCAAAAAAAATAAATCACAGTACTTGAACACCTCCCTTATTCACCGGATCTCGCACCGTGTGACTTTTCCTTTTTCCCTAATGTGAAGAAACACATCAAGGGAACACATTTTGCAACCGTGGAAGAGATTCAGAAGTTTATGACGGGCGTTCTAAAGATCTTGCAGGAGATTGACTTCCAGAAGTGCTTTGAAAGCTGGGAAAAATTCTGAAATTCATGTATAGCTGCAAGAGGGAACTACTTTGAAGGAGACCACCACAGTTTACAATAATGTAAATTATATAGTTATTAGAAAATACAGTCTCGTTATTTTATTGTCAGACCTCGTACAGTCACATCATTGTGCATGATGCCCATTTGTAAGTTCTTAGCATTCAACTCCCATGAAGATCTCAAAACTTTAAGAGGCCATACCTTTGGCCTTATGATTCAGTCTCACACCTGAATCCAAGAGTATTCTACATTTTATTTCATACACATTCCCACTCGAAGTAAAAGCCTTCTCATTTTCTCCTCAATTTCTGCTTACTGTAGGGAAGAAGGATTCCGCCTACTTCCTATGTTTTTGTCAATGCCTTTCCACACTCAAACCTTGCTTCAATTGTTAATGCTGCTGCAAAAGAAAGCATCATCACAATTGCCCAAAAAGTAATTGAGGCTGAAAAACAAAGTTTGGGCTTATTTTGGCAAAATGGCATTCTTCATGATGCAGACATTTTGCATTTTACCATATTTATCCTCTGCATTGGAAATGAGAGCCAGCAATCAAGAGAAGGAACTGAGTGTGACCAATTTGGTACATAGGCATCTGGAAGTGTACATCTACAGGGTGTTCTGAAAGTTTCTGACCCACTCACACAAAATATGGCAAAATGCTATCTCAGCCACTATAAAACATCTTCCTCTGATACACGGGCTACATGAAGATCTGTGTGACCTACTCAGACCAAAAACGGTTATGGTGATGCATGATGGAGCACCATACCACATGGCTGACTTCACATTCTTTGCCACTGAAGAGACTAGGGTACAGGTCTAGAAGTTACAGAGGGATTGTCTGAATTGCAACTCCTATACTAACTATGGCACAGGTGTCAGCAAAGTACTCTGCATCAGCCCCACCTCATAAATTGGGTGTTGGTCATTACCAGGAATCTTGGTGAAGTGAGGAATCAGCATGACAAGTGCCATCCATCAGGTTCGAGAGCTTCACAATGCTGATCCGATGTTCCTGCAGGTCTGCGGAAGTCATATAATGTATTGATGTAGGAGTTGGTACCTAGGGTGCTCTTGGCCGTGTGGAATGCAATTAAATCAGTATATTCTAATTAATATAATCTACATCTTTATTTTAGTGGGTCAGAAACTTTCTGAGCACCCTGTATAGATGCTGGAGATCTCTTTTGTCATGAGGTGGCAAGATGGAAATATTTGATAATTATTTTTACTTTCTCTGGGTTGAGACTTCTATAGGATTACAGTTATGGTGGAGTCCCAAGCTAACAGCAATCAAGCTCTCAGGTAGCAACAAGGGACTGGTGATTATACCTCAATGGGACCCTGGAGTTGATGACTGAAGATGGAGCACCTATCAAGAGGATGAAATGGAACGGAATTATTTGCTGTGAGGAGTGCCTCACTCTTTCAATCCAAGGGTAAATTTAACACTCCTGTGGGTTATTTTCATTTTCTATTCATGTTCACATATTCATTTCACATTACTGCCCTGTAAATTTACTTGCTGCTGCTCCTATTCCCACCCAATGTATCAAAGAGGAGGAAGTTGAGAGTGACAAGGGAGGGTAAATGAGTGATGTTATTTTGATCTATGACTTTTTCATGATTCAACTATCAGGACACAACAAAGGTCCAAGATATTTAATGCAATCTGTGTAAGATCCTTCTAGTCTGCTGGTCACTCAGCATCTGAGATTAATCTTAACATGGTCTAACATAAGAAATGCTATTTTTGCACACTGAGGGACAGGTTTTTGATAGTGTACCAGATTCTCTACTGCTGCCAGGCATTGGATCAGGGTCGTGCTTTGTAAATATGACCCTTGCTGTTTCTTCTTAGGTGGAGCTAAGGAGCATCAGTCCTGGTTGGAGCTGAGAGGAATGACAGAAAATTGCAAGGATGGAACTGGAATGTGAATGTCAGGTGTTCAGAGTCTAATGAACCCCTTCTAGTTTTGTTGCCTTAGCTGTAATTATCTCCAGTCATGAGACAAAGCAAAGTGAGTTAGGATGCTGCCCCATTTTTGCATAATTTTACTATTATATCTTCTGCAATGAAGCAGTCACAGTCACTAAATTATTCTGAAGTATATTTCTTCTTTTCTTTTCCATTATCTGACCTCATATTTCAGAGATAACTTCATGTTAAGGGAAAAGTTGTAAATTTGCATGAATAGAATCTGCCTGTGTAATCTGCTCCACTTAGGAATCCTTGCGCCTCTCCCATGCACGGAAAGAGAAATCTGGACAGGAATGAAAGGGGATGAGAGAGGGAAAGAAGGACCACGCATTGTACAGGGTGGGCCAAAAATACCTTTCAGCTCAGCATTTAGTAAACATAATAACCTAATAAACACTTATTAAATCAAAAAATCATGATAAAGTATATATGAAGTACATATCATGACTTTATCATGAGATATATTAATACTTCATCATGATGTACAGTATTAGTCAGGTGGATCTGTTTACCCCATCATGTTCTAAGTACAACTGCCACCAGGTTCTATGGCACATTTTTTTAATCATCTCATCATCTATGCGTAACCTCAAGTGTAATGTCAAGGAAATTTTGGTCAACCATGTTTACCGTATGTTGGCCATTTTAGGCGCAATTGGGAAAAATCCCACCACTCAGCAACCGATTCACCTAGAAATGCAACTTGGGTGTAATCGTGGGTCATTCCACCACAACATAGTTTCGGAGGAAAGTAGTTCGTGGTTGTCGACGAGGAAGAAGACATGCAAGAGAAACGCGGGCGATTGCTGCATGATTCTTCAATATGGCCTCAGGCTAATCGTTCTAGGTCAGAAAAATCAACAAATTCCCGCATGATTCAGGAGAGCCATTTTTTCATAATCATCTCGAAGGATCTGTGAAGAAAACTAATTTTATTATCCTCGTTCTAAAGATACTCGATCTGAGAGATAGAAGTAATCCACATCCCCATTAGCTCCATTTTCATATCTCGGTGATGCAAAAGGTCTGGAAATGTGCCCCTTTCTTTCGAAGATATTGAGGGCAAGATATATTGAAAGCCCTTCTGTCTACGAATTTGTACGTATATTGATCATTTGAGCTCTGCATGTTGCTTGGAATAATTTGGATTCTCAATGAAGTGTTATGACCCCATTTCATTAATGTCAAGCGTGTGACTTTTTTTTAAATATTCCTGTCTACATTTTAAAGTCCCAAAAATTAATAACTGGGACGGGAGACATTTATTCGCACCCATGTTATTAGAATTGCCTTCAGGAGAGAAAAGACAAGGTGTGGGGGAGAGCGGCGACGCGCTAAGAAGAATCTCAGGAGGGGGGATTCGAAAGCGGAAGTTTTTATGAAATAAAATGAATGAAAAATAAAGCGACCTAGGGACTAGAAAAAAAAATCAATAACAATAGGCTCCATTTGAAGTCGCGTCGGTCACCTACTTCTCCTGCCTCTCACTCACACACAGACACATGCAATCACGCGCACGCACAAGTGGGAGAATTTAAATCACGGGAGAGATTGCTATCATAATAGGGTACTCCTACATCATAACATTAGAGAGACAAAGTCGATCACGGGAGCCGGTAATAAGGGTCTTCGTGGCTTCAATGGAGAGTTCGGGCGCCATGTCACACAAAATTATGCCTCAATCATTGTCTGCAGGTATACAGAGACCTAGGTAAAGGACTGTAGGAATACGAAGACAATGACCCGCGAAAGATCTCTCTGACATGTACAGTAGGTGTGAGTTCTCGCTCTTTTCGATTTCGTTTCACATGTGTCTGACAACTTTCGAGCAAGTGGAGGCAAGTCCTTGCTAGAGACTACTTGCTTCGTGTATACCCTCGCTTGCTCCTTGTAAGCAAGGACTTACTAGCAAGTTCTTACCTCGTGTATCAGGGCCTTTAGTGTCATTGGATTCTTAAAAAAATCTATCTATGGAATAGGCGCAAAGAAACCTGTATTATTGACCGGTACGAGGAGGAAATCAACCCATAATGTAAGAAATTTCCCAAATTTTACACAATAGCCGCAGTAAAATGCGATAGGCTTCGAAGAGAATAAACGAATTCTCACCCGTTGCAGTCAATCTAAAAATCCTGCGGATATGGGGTAAGCAAGATTTCGCCCTCCTAAGGTTAGGGGAAAATGGAAAAAGCCCATGGTCTGCAAAATTTCCATCTCAGAAATAATTCACCATTCGTGCAGTAGCGTCAACTGAAGCTCTTTAATAGCTGAATAATTAAGTCTGTACATTCTTGTAGTTTGAATGAATTTCAGCATCATTGTAGAATATGAAAATGCGAAATTTAGACTGTTTACCCACAAATACGAGGGGTGTTTACAAAGATATGGGAATTTTTTCCTATCACTGCAACGGCTGATCAAAGCCTACCGCAAAGTTCGCGTCACACATGCACATGGTTGTCATAAACACGACTGCTAAACATTATTCACTGGGCATGCGTCAGTAAGAAGTTGTGAATGTTCGCGTAGGGTACACTTTGTCAGTCGTCGTCGCTGTAGAGAAAATCTTAATGGAAAAACAGACGAACAACCATTCGCACGATTGCAGCAAGGGTATGCATCAGATCCAGAAAGGTTCATGAAATTTTAAATGACCGCCTTGGAGTGAGCAAGGTTTCTGCACGATGGATACGGCGACTGTTGGGGCCAGAGCAGAAACTCAATCGTGGGGAGCTTTGTTCAGTGTTGTTGGTTCTACAGGAACAATATGGGAATAGTTTCTGGCAACGAATCATCATGACAGATGAGACCTGGATACCTTACTTTAAACCACAAAAATGCTGTTTATGGAATGGCAACGACCTTCTCATGGTCCTCCGCTTAAAGCAAGGACTATGTCATCAGTTGGTGAGGTTATGATAACGGTGTTTTGGAATTGCCAAGGGATAATCATGATTGATTATCTAATCGTCTACAAAAAAGTTCCACAATAAATGCTCAATATTACTCTGATTCGCTGAAGGGATCACTACGTGAAGTACTCAAGAAAAAACAACCATGAAAGCTCCATTCCCGACCATTACAGCAACAAGACAATGCGAGACTGTACAATGCTCATCTTACAAAGGCCGTTTTGTTAGATCAGCGCTGGGAATTGCTGCCACACCGGCCATATTCTTATTCTGTTCTTAAGACCTGGCTCCCAGCGACTCTCATCTGGGGGAATGTAGAAACCTCTTCCAGAAATCCATTTTAAGTCTCTCTCTGAAGTTAAATCAACGATAAATAAGTGCATAGAACGTATTCCACAAAGTTTCAGTGAAAATGGACTAAGAAAACTAATTAATCGCTAACACAAAGGAAGACATCGTATACGTTTGTCAGCGTATAAATCGTGATTATATTGAAACATTGCCTAATAATATCGAAATAAAAAATGAAAAATGTGCAAGTAAATTCCGAGAACTTTGTACAGTAAAGAAGCCTAATACATACGGAAATACGGAAGAATCGGAAAAATAGTGGGAGAGTTCTCGATTTCCGACGGAATCCTGGTTTTGCCATACTTTGCGGGGTTTGAGTCGATTTTTCCGGATTATTGGATATTGTTGTGGATTTTTCGATTTTCGGCTTTCGTTCAGAGCACTAGTTGCGATACTTATGTAGTTCTCGATTTCTCGATACTCAGATACTGGTGTAGTTCTCGATATCCGATGGAATCCTGGTTTTGCTGGATTTTACGGGGTCTGAGTCGAATTTTCCGCTTCATCGGATATTGTTGTGGAATGTCGATTTTCAGCGCTCGTTCAGTGCACTGGGCCAGATAGTGGGAGAGTTTAATCCTGGGTTCACCATACTTTGATAATGTGTCGATGGGAGAGATGAAGACACGTTCAACGATTTTTGGGAGCCGATTGCCAAAACCCAATCTGGAACCATCTCCTACCAAATACCATTGTAAGTGGGAGAAGGAAAGTTGCTGGCGGAACCGGTAGAACACCGAGCATGCCCAAGAGGAGGTTCCGACCCTCCTGGAGGCGGGGGCCCAACTCCAGCATCTGTGCCAAAATTTCTTCCAAATGAAAACACTTGTGAAGCATGTGATGAATAACATACATCAGTTTTTAACCGGGCCATTGCTGTTCTGTGCTGCAATTTTTTTATGCTTCTTTTTTTTTCTTATCCTAAGCGTGTCGGAGACTCTTCCAAGTCTATTTCGTTTTCATTGTGTGGATGATGGCTTTCTTCCACTAGTGTGTTTGTTGATTTATCTGCTATGACGTATTAAAGTCCTTTTGAAACCTCACCATACTTTGCTGGGTTTGAGTGGATTTTTTCGCTTTGTCGTATATTGTTGTGGATTGTCGATTCTATGTTCTCGTTCAGTGCACTTCCTGCGATATTGAAGTAGTGCTTGATTTTCGATGGAATCCTGGTTTTGCCGGAAATTTAAGGAGTCGCAGTCGATTTTTCCGCATTGTCGGATATCGTTGTGGAATGTCGATTTCTTGCTGTCGTTCAGAGCACGGGGCCAGAAACTGGTGTAGTTCTCGAATTTTGATGGAATCCTAGTTCTGCCGGATTTTACGGGATCTGAGTCGATTTTACCGCATCATCGTATATTCTTGGGAAATGTCGATTTTCTTTGTCGTTCAGAGCACGGGGCCACATACTTGTGTAGTTCTCGATTTCCAATGGAATCCTGGTTTTACCGGGTTTTTATGGGGACTGTCGACTTTTCCGCACTGTCGATATTGACATGAAATGTCAATTTTCTGCTCTCGTTCATCCCAATGACTGGGAATGCTGGAGAGTTCTCGATTTCCGACGAAATCCTGGTTTTGCTGGATATTACGGGGTCTGAGTCGATTTTTCCACATTGTCAGATATTGTTGTGGAATGTCGATTTTATGCTGTCGTTCAGAGCACTGGGCCATATAGTGGGAGAGTTCTCGTTTTCCAAT